GTTGCTCCTGACACGGAGCCTAGGGCCCTGTTCTTTGGCAGCTCACCCAAGAGGACCAGCTCCCGGGGTGGAAAGAGAGAGAACCGCAGACAGTTCCTGGCTCCCGTGAGGATGCCCTGGCTCCCCCCCCCATCCCCCAGCCCCCCATCATCTTCTGTGTCTGTCACCCTGTTGAGGAGCAGAATCACATGCTTGACCCTTTTCCCTTTTCTCATCCTGATCCTGTCCATTGTTCTGGGATGACTCCAAAGGAGACTGTCTGCTGTCCCTGTCAGTCCTTCTCCTGTAACATACCTCTCATCCTTGTCGTGTTCCTGTTGATACAACCCTGCCTCGTCTAAGGCCTCTATAAGAACGTGCGTATTTCTGACCATTCTGTACTGGAAAACGGATAAATACTGTTCCAACTCACCAGTACTGGCGATCAGCATGCGTTGTTTTCATTCTTAAGCTTTAGGTCCTATATTATACTTGTCCCTTCTGAGTCTTACTTAGCCTGGGGTTTCATGGCTGAAGAAGTGTAGGCCTGGAATGCTGTCTTCTAGTTAAACTGTAGCCTGAAAAATTAAGATGTAAGTTAACTGCCGATCCGCCGCCCTAGCTCACCTGACTTTTCAGTTTCTGCTTTATTTAGCAGTCGTATCTCCATCGCGTACATCTCCATCTTCTCAGTGTTTAGTAAGGAATTTCTTAATCGGCTCTTTCTCATGAGGGCTCCTGGCTAGCTTATTGTCAGATCCATTGCACTTAACGGTCTTCCTGAATTCTTTGCGTTATCTAACTAATTTTTCCTCTTGCTGCTGGGCATGGTCGAACCACTGAAATTAGGCTAAAGTTCTATCAGTGTTTTTCTCTGGCTTGCAATATGACAGACTTATACGCAGTCATGTCCCTGAGCCCTCCGATGGGATTCTTTTTTGGGTTTTCTCTCTCCCTCTCTCTCTCTTTTTTAAAACCAGTTTTCTATCCGTTCTTTTCCAAGTTCTTCTTGGGTTCAGATGGTTTGCCTTATCCCCTCACTGCTAGACTGAAGCCAGCGAAACACATGCACTTCTGAACTGACCTGGGTTGTGGCCAGCTTCACTGAAGAGACTTGAGCTGACATGGAAGTTAGTTTGTTTATTTAGGCTGTGACTTTTATAGCGCCCATCAGGCAAGTGCCTACCTGAATGTTTAATGTTTAAAAATAAAATTAAATTTCAGATGGGAAGAGAAGCAGCCCAGGCTCTATCAGCCCTTTTCTTGCTAATACGTTTCTTTTCCCGAGTTCTCATTTCTGTGCCTCTTTCTTTCTTCCTTTGTCCCCTTTGTCACACCCACCTTCTATCCCCATTCCCTTCAGATATTTTGAACGGTAACTCCCATTTACAATGTGGGGCTTTTTCTGTCCTCTTTTTCAGAAGTCTAGTCCCTAACAGTCTTTATGGTGTGATCTCAGTAAACAAAGAGCGTGCGCGCACGTGTGCATGTGCGTGTGTGTGTGTGTGTGTGTGTAGGAAGCCTGCCATATTTCCTCCCTGCCCCACAGAAAATGTGTTTTCTGGAAGCCCTTTTGACACTGAAGTGAGTGCCCACTGGCCCTCCCTTGCTGAAGTCTCCTGAGAGGAGAGAGAGAGAGAGGCCTTTATGCTTGTTGTCATATCTTTTGTTTCTGCTGATTATACACAAAGTAAGTTGTAAATAGCTCTCACACACCATGATTCCTTTGAGGTCTGTGCAGGAGGGGAGCTGTGCACTCAGCTTCAGCTCCCCCGGGGACTGCAGAGGGTCCCTTCTGAGGCCTCTTACTTCCTGTTACAGCACCAGCAGACTGGAATTTAGATGGAGAGGAGACGATTACCATCCCATAATTAAACCTATGGCAGAATGTTTAGAAATATTCACCCATCACTTTAGTATTTTTCTTTCTTTTTAACTTAAGTGTTTTTATTACTTTAAAAGCAAAATATATCAAGTTCAAAAAAGAATGAAAAGCGAAAAATCCCCTTAATCTTACTTCTTTTCGGAGATAAAAATCAATGTGAACATTTTGTGAAAATCATTGTAGAGCTTTGTTTTAAAGTATGGCATTGAGACAGATAAAATGGATAAAATTGGAATTCCCCAAATCAATTTAATTTTATATTCCAATGAAAACGGTGGTTAGGTACACACCATATTTTATTCTCTTAATTTAAAATGGAGTAATGATAAAAGGTTAGACAATTTATATCTGCTGTTTCTGTCAGTCATTTTTTTGATCGCTTATAGCTAACTGGCTAACTCCTGAGGCTTCTAAATCAAAAGGCCTAATTGTCTAGGTGTGCCGTTATTAACTAATTAGGTTATCAACTTTTATATCCTTTGTATTTTCCTTGGTGCATTTTGATGAATTAGGAAACAGAGCTTGTCTTTCCTTTAATTTTTTTTCTCTGATAATTAACAACACTAATTGTGGTAGATGGGGTGGGGAGCATTATTAGATGATGAACCCATCAGTGAAGCTGTGCTGTTTTGGTTTGAAACTCAATTTCCTCATCTTTACAATATGGGAGTCCATTTTCATGGATCCTAATGGATTGTCTTCTGCTCAGAAATTCTAGGATTTTGAGTTGGAGAGGGCTGCCCATGACCCTCATAGTTCTTTTTCGTGATTTGGATTGTTGAAACATTCTAGTAGACTGGCACAATTTCCTTCCAGCTTATTCACAGACCTTTTTGTTTTCTCTCAGAAACTGTGTATTTCTAAGTGTCTGAGGTTGTAATTGAGTATAATTGTAGTTGTTTAACTTTCTCCTTTCCTCTTGAGAATGTTTATAAAATGCATTCTATGAGGGTAAAGAGAAACTGGGAACTTAGTATTTGTGACACGGTCAGAAAATATCAGGGTAAGTAGGAGTTTGTGTGCATGAAATAAAGTATTGTTTACACTTAATTTGCAATGTATACTCAGGCTCATGGAATCTGCTATAATCAGTTGTCACATTTATTGAGGTTTTATAGGAAGCTTTTTGGGGAGTTCATTTTGCTATGGAATATTCTAAGATTAATTTTTTTCCAGTCCTTCCATCGCACCCTCAGGAGAATCACTCTTGCAGAACTCATTAGAGTGCCTCCATATGTCAACTGAGGGGTGGAATCAGCATCATTGTGTGTGTGACATGACACACATGCAGTGTCTCTACTCTTCTCCATGCCCCATTTCTTTCCCGTTCCTCAAGTTAGAGGATACATTCCTTTTTACATTGCCTGTATTGTCCTAGGCCAAAGAGTAAGTAGTAGATCTTGATTTCTTGTAACTTCTCTGTTTCCTTTAATTGTCGTCTTTGTGATTTTTTTCACATGAAACATCCACAAATGTCTCCAGAATGGGTACCACTAACTGCAATTGTTACATGGTTTTCATTACCTTCTTCAGAATATGTTCTCAATTATTTTCTTATTTTTTAAGTTTGAGCTTTGCAGCTTTCTGGCATGTGACTCTGAACTAGCTATTTACCTATTCTAAGCCTCAGGGTTTTTTTTTTTTTTTTTTTTTCATTTGTAAAATGGAGATGCGCATATCCCATAAGATGGTTGAAAGGAAAAAATTGGGTTAATCTATATGTAAGGTGCCACATGGTGACTGGCACATTGCAAGTGTTCAGTAATTGTGACATCCCTCTCCTTCCCCTCTTGGGCTCCGCTGGTGAAATTTGTGGGTAAAGACTGGTTAAGTTCAAAGACAGATGACAATCTGTCCATTTCACCTTATGTAGATAGGCAGGAAGGAAGAAGAAGAGACTTGAAAAGAACGGGAGAGTTGAAACTAAAAATGTGTGAAGAGTTGACTGAGTGCTTTTATAAAAAATTAGTGATGTTCACTAGTGAATTTGCAAAGTGGAGCTTATTGAAAATTGTTTAAATTTGGAGAAGTGATCTGATTTGTGGGTCAAAAGAAAGAAAGAAATGCCTTCTATGGCAGCATGCTTGGCTGAAAACTGATCTCTGAAGAAAGAAAATTGATTGGCACAGATGATCCTAATTGGAATTAAAGAATAGAACAAAACAAAGCACCAAAGGAGGGCTTTGACTGGGAAAGAAGACAGGTGAGGTGAAGCCAATTGATGGATTGAGATTCAGTACATATAGATAGATGATTAATGAAGATAGTATGTGTTTGGAAATACTAAGTAGTGATTTAGAGAAATTTTTTTAAAAAGAAAAAAACAGGTTTAGTTGGAATCTAAATTATTTTGTCTTAAAAATTTTAAAATGAAGTAAACAAGTGACAGTAGGCAGTATTTCAGGATGAGATTGACTAATTATATTGGAAAACTTAATTTTGAAAGGGAATCTTAGTGGCTTTCAGGGTGGAATTCTAGATATAGAGAAACATTCACTAAATTGTAGCTGTTTTGTTATCATTTTTATTATTAGAACAGACATCAAGTAAACCTCTTAAGTGTAATTTAAAGATAGTAAGCAAATAAAGAATAAATATTGATAAATAAAGTCTGCCTGTGCTAACTTATACCAGGAACAGGAAAAAGAAATTTGAACAGGTGTGTTAAGAGTGCAAAGGAACTTTAGGTATTATAGAGAGCAATTTTCTTAATTCCCACATAAACAAATTAAAAGATAGAGGAAAAAATATCACTGACATCAGACAGAAAGTCTGTTTCTTTTTCCCTACACTCATTTCTTCTTTTCCTTCCTTTTTACCTTCCTTCTTCTCTCCTCTTTCTGTCCACAGATATTTATTAAGTGCCTACGTACTGGTCCATGCTGCGGATGCAAGGGGGAATAAAATTCATCTGGATCTTTTCCTTTTTGGGATTTACCTTCTGGTCATTAATAAACTGGGATGTAGGATATTTACTATATATTTGACCTACAAAGTGTCAAAAACCTGGGAAGCCATGATGAGCTGTTCGAGAGCTGCAGTTGGGGTGTCCCTGCTTCTGCCTGGGTCAGGGGTGTTTGTGTGTGGTTCTCAGTAGCCTCCACAGCCAGCTTCTAACTCGGCCGTATTCCCCCAGGTTCCAGTGGCATGTGCTGGCAGAGTGCTGGGTGCAGACTTTTGCCCAAACCTGGAGGAGCCAGACCAGAGGCTGGAAGTCCAGGTTGGAGTCTTATTGTTTTATCAGTTGGGGGTGGTGTGACAGAAACAGTGGTCCCTGAAAGCCATACAGATACATCAATGCCATGAGGAGACAGACTACCATTGAGACAGGTATAAAAGAGGGACCAAAGTAGCATATGTGCAGCAAAAAGTCCTTTTCAGGATTAGTTGTCTGTAACTGGAGACCATTCATTTATGCATTCAAGAAATAGCATATACTGCGGTGGACAAGAACGGGGTTTCTGAAGGCTGGCCGCCTAGGTTGACGAAGCAAGTTGTTGTGAGACCTTTGGCAAGTCACCGAACCTAACTAAGCTTTAGTGTTCTCGTCTATAAAATGGAGATTTATCACACAAGGTGATTATGAGGATTAAATGTGATGTCTATCTGGCAGTTAGCACAGTGCCTGGCATGTAACAGGCACTGAGTAAATATTAGCTTTCATCATTTGAAATCATCTGTCATGTGCTAAGTACTGTGCTAGGCACTGGGATACAGGGTGAACAAGTCATGCTTCCTGCACAATGATGGTCTCCCAGCTCAGGAGAACAGAAGCCATTCAGCTGGGCTCTGTATTAGAAAAATAGGACTTAATGATAAGTGTCTCCCCTCTTCACGGATTGGGAGATATGTCCTGTGGTATAACATTAAATTTATTAGCAAAGTACATTTTTCATGGAAGTATTGACTTGAAATTCTGTTCATTTTGTGTGGTCTTGAGGCATTAGAAGCAGTTTGGTGTACTGTAAATTAAAAATATAAATATGACGTCTTGGCCAAAGACAAGTCTCCACTTCCATGTACCTTTTAATGTCTAAGGAATATGTGTTCCAGTGATGCAAAGATACAGGCTGAAGTTTCAACATGGATAGCATCTCCTAGCATGAGCAAAGTCATACTATGTTTTTAGGGCCTCCACTTGGCATCATTTTCTAAATTTTCAGACTTATGGGATGAGCATAGTGAACTTGGTTTTAAAAACACTTTTACTTATTTAGTCACCCCACATGAGGAAAGAGAATAATTTTAAAAATTGACTCCTTCACAGCGAGAGTGAAGGTGGAAGTGGCGGTAGGAGGAGGTTTTAGTTTTTATGGTACTGAAGGGTACACATCTCTTGCACACCTGCTCTTGGCCTAGGGAAGACCACCTGAGCTCTGCTGTGCCACAAGCCGGTAGTGTCTGGGTGGTGTATGGCTATGATACAACAGAAAAGCAGGTGTGACACATATGAGACATGATCATGTATTTCCCAGATTTAGAAAGCTAACAGCTTGTGTGTGACACATAAGTGCAGAGTGATGGAAGACATGGAGAATAGTCTGACCCTTGACCTCTTTGGGTAGGACGAGTGATGTTCTTCAAACACATCACCTGGAATGGTCTGTCATGGGTGGTTGTTGGATAATCTGTTTTTGAATCTGGAGTTATAGCACAGAGATCAATGGGTTTTGCAGATGTGAGTGTGTGATATAAAACTGAAAGAGACCAATGGAGCACATTATTTTGGCATACCAAGGAAGAAGATGTATATTTACTTGTTTTAGTGAAACCCTAGTTGGAGGTAGTTAGATTGTGAAGTTAACAATTCAGCATGGGCCTTGCAAAGAAAACCAAGTTGCTGGGCAAAGAAATGAAAGTGCTTATTTTATTGGATTTCTTGTCTTGTAACACCATTTTGGCGGACTGAGTGGAAAAGTTGAATCCGTTAAAAGATAGTCGACTATGGTGAATTGGTAAATTAACTGGGACCCCCTTGAACCATCTCCTTCTCTCTTTTTCCCCCTCTTTCTTTCTAAATATGGGTTCCATACATTTTAATAATATCTGGTGCGTATCCATATTATGTCAGTTGTAAAAAACTTGACACTTCATATGTTCTTCACCAGCTAACAATTCCAGGAGTAGTTTTTAGCTTAGAGTCCTTTCATTCTTGCCATGGCATGTGTATTCTGGTCCTTTTTTTTTTTCTAGAGAATGAGCCATTTCTTATTTTTCAGTCCAACTCTACACTCCAGGGAACTCACTATAGGACTTGCCAGAGTCATCTACTTTCCCTGCTTGGATCTCAGGCTTTCCCCCAGAGCCAGGCATTCTAACCACTAGAGGATTTGCTGTTTGGCCTCTTGATTCTGAGAGTGACCTCTTGTGCACCTCGATTTAGGAGCAATGGTTTGTTTATATCCTTTCTTACGGAGGATTTTCATTAGACTCACAGCGCCCATACCTGGTTTACTTTTGTATTTTAGCTGACGTGAGTTCTCATAACTGGTGGAGCCCACTTCCTCTTCTTACCTGCTTCCTTTTAACCCTCTCCTTTTATCACTAAAATTTCAAATAGTTTAGCAACTTTATCATTTAATATTCCCAAGATCCCCGACACTCTTTCATGAATATATCTTTGGTTTTGAATGACTGTCATCCTTGAAGTCTATGCCTGACTTGACTTTTGCAGGGCAGCTGCTGTCTTTTTGTGTTAATATGCTTGATGTAGAAAAAATGGCTAGAAATCAACGCGTTGATTCCCTGTCTAACTTTGTTGATTTTCCTCAGTGGCTTTTGAAGTGGGTATGAAGCTGTGTACTTTTTTTTTTTTTTTTAGGGTAATTGGTGTATAGTAGCAAAAAATTTTGCTCTTATGTAATTTTATGGGAAATCACTATTCTAGTTTAGACCTCCCTTAATTGCTGTTAAATATTTTATTTTTACTCAGAGAAAAGTTACTTTCGGACTCTAATTGTGCCTCCTCATGTATTAAGCTGTTACAGTTAGCCCAGCACAGTTCCTTTCTTGGTTGGGAATTCAAGATGTGGGGTTGACTTGGTATTTTTCACCACTAAAGTGCTTAGGAAATTAGAGTAAATAATGAACCAATATTTCAGTACCAGATTAGACACAATTGACTGTGATGTTTCATAAACCACAGACTCCTTTCTTCTGTGAATGCGTGAAGGATCACTTTTTTTTTTTCCAGACATACCGGGGTGCAAGTGTAAATTTCCATAAAATTTAAATGAGGTGCTTCCTGTAATTAATGAACAATTGTGGCTGCTCTCTAGTCTGCATTGTAATTAACCGTGATCAGGCTTGTTTAGTGATGACACTGTTCCTGTAATAATTTGACAAGCTACTGTGAATTTGCCAGGTTATTAAACAACCTGCAGCATTCACTTATGGAATCACAGGGACAAGCTCGGCGGCTGCTGCTAGTTAAATGCAGCATAAGGATGAACCAAAACCTGCCCATTAAAGTCTATCGATCACCATGAACAGATTTAAATTCCTACAATTTTGGAGAAGTTAATTAATTTTGTGTGGGTTGTCTTGAAAACTTTTTATTACATGGAAAACCTACTGGGGCAAAGCTGGTCATTGTTATGGACTCATAATGAAGCTGGCAGATTTTCTGTGTTATCACCAGTATGGACTAAACAGAATCTGAGGTTTCCCTTTCCCACCCTGTTAAATAGGTATAATTATTTAAACTGTTCCCTCCCCAAATTCATTCACGTTCATTCATTCACAACATCCCTCAGATATAAGTTCACTCTTTTTTTGAGTACATGTTAGAAACAGCACATGACCTTATGCTAAACACAGTCACGTCACAGGTAGAGTGAGCAATCTCAGTGGACCGGTAACCTTATGTCCGTGGTCACTAGTGTACCCGCCTTCCCCAACCCCCTTCAGGTTCAGAACTGTTCAAAACCTTACTGTCTAGTTACTGTGGTGTCTTTCATTCAGATTCTGTTTATTGACTAAACCACAAGGATTCCTGCCCAAAGTACCAGGCGGTCTATGCTTGACTGATTTTGATTTTCTCACATCAGCCCTGGGGTTTATTTGAAAAAGGTACATACACTGCAGCTTTAACAAGGCAAGTGACTGCATGTTTTTGACCGTGGAGTAGAGTATATCTGAAGATCATTAAATTTGGGCGGGGGGAAGGAGGGTGGAGAATAAGTGTAGTAGTCATTGTACCATTGCAGAGTGAGAGTATGTGTGTGTGTGTGTGTGTGTGTGTGTGTGTGTGTGTGTGAGACACATGGTTTTTGTCTTTTCATCTTCTCCAAGAGCCAGAAAGTTTCCTGCCGTTCTCTTTCCAGCTATTGACAAATGATTGCCAGATGTGAGATCTTTGCAATGCGCTCTCCCTCCACAAACCTGCAGTGATGGGATATTTGATTCTCCCTTGCCCATTTCATCTCCTTTCCACATCTGCCAGGGACACACAAGCAATCCATCCCTACATGAGAGTTTAAAGTTTATTCAGCTCCTTTTTCCCCTCCGATAAAGTGTTTGGAGACAACAGAATGAGGTCCATATGACTCTCCCCCAACTTCACTGTATGAAATTAGTTGTTTATTTTACTTATCTACCTCTCTGTAATTGAACTATTTCATTTGAGTTTCGGTCCATGGAAAATTTGATGCAACTCTGGGAGTGCTAAGAGTTTCCTATTGTTGTCTGCTGGCTGTGAGTATGCCATCATCACGACTTCTTTCTGATCTCCTCAAATCTGATAAAAACTAGACTGTTGGTTTCATAGACTTCCTAGGAAAGTAATTTTAATAAATAACTGTCAAAATATTAAGTGTAGCATGTCTGGTAAAATTCAGTGGTCATTTAAGCTTAAAAAAGTCATCCATGAAGGCAAAAATCCAACTGGATTGGCTTGGTTAACTTACCCGGTATTTGTGTCCATTGTCAAAGTTAATATGAATGAGCTCCTAGTTTTAATCCCAAATAGCTTATAAAAGAGAAAGTACGCTGAGTTTTGGAGGCATCTGAAATTAGCCTGTGTAGGCCACACACATAATCGCTCACATGCACAGAAGCCTTTTGCATCTGCTTGGAATCTGTATTGATATTGATTTCTTTTTCTCATCTCAGTTTAAAAATATTTTTCAAAATGCTCTTATAGCTTGTGTTCCTACTATAGGGTGGGCTGACACAGGTGGCCTTTCAGTTTTCCTATTACAGTTTTTGGCAAACGAAAAG